AGAAAAATAAAGCACAGAAAGCCAAAAAATCATCCTGAAGGACGTATATTCTGCAGTGGAGTCAACTTCATTGTTTTCTTGGTCCGCCACATACCACGTACTCCCACTGCTATTCTAATCTGCTGCCCCGCCCCGGGACCTCTCATCTGTCAATTCTGTTCTCTGTCTGCATCACGCTTTTTTACAACTCCCAGCCCCTGTAGGATGTTATCCGCCCTCTGCTTGGAAGCCCCGTTTTCCAGGTCTCCGCCTGGTCAATGCCTGCTAATTTGCCATGCTGTTTAATCATTACTTCCTCTGTGTAGCTTTTCTCAATTCTCTCATGCAAAAGTACAGATACCACACCTATGTCTAAGAAACATCACGTAAATAACTCTATTTTAGTTGTTATCACAGTGCCATGTGATGTTTATTTACCTGTCTGAGCATCTCGATAGCAGAGCCTTTGTCATATTTATCTTGTATTTCCAACCCGGGCAATGTTACATAGACCAGGTGTTTCATACATACTTGTAAGTTATTGTTAACTCCAGAATAGAGCTGTGCTATTTTGCTATGATATTTTGAATGATGAAAATGAAAGCTCTAAAGAAAAATCTACCAGTTCTTTTTCAGAACCTGAAGGATGTTGATTTTATTGTTGCACTGGGAACTTTGAGCTGTTAAATGAATAGAAAAGATTGATAACACAATGTGAGAATATAAAAATATGGAAAAGTCTGCCCTCACCAATGACAACGTTCTTTCTTGGAGCCTTGATGTTATACAGTATTAAATTTAAGCATCTTATTGATTCCTCAGTTGAATTTTTCTGTAAATATACGTGGTTTTGTGACCAGCCTCTATCCTAGAGTTACCATGGCTACTGCAAAGTTTTCGTCTTATTTGCAGCCCTTTTAAGGGTTGTTTTAAAGAACAAATTGTTTTTCTTACAATAGTAGACTATCTTCCAAAATAGACCCTGCACATATCCAGCATGACGAATCAGTAGATAAACTCTATCACTGGCAGCAGGTAATGTTTTTCCCACCCATTACCCACCCTCCCCTGTAAACAAACAGCCCACTCACACACAGAGAGAACACATTTCCTTATTTTCTGAAATGTACCAAATGCGTTTCCTCCCTTCTCAAAGTCTCCATTTTAGAAAATATCTAATAGGATTTTCAATCCTTATTTTAGTATATTTAGCCTAGATTGTCGGCACTTTTCTTCCTTAAAGTATTTAAGCTTTGATCAAGACTCCTATCCTGAGCATTGCGTGTGCATTTTGTTCTCTTTGTGACTTTAATTGCTTAAAAAGCAGAAATGTTAATTTAAAATGTTGCATACATGAAAGTGGAAACAAAAACAGGTCTCTGTGTGACCCCTCACAACTGTTAAGTTTGGTGTTTTTCTTCTAGGGCTTTTCTCAAACACATACAACATATTGATCTAGAGCAAATTCTTAGTAACTTATTATCTTAAAAACTTATACTACTTAGAGCAGGATGAAGTGAAACTGGGGACAGACATTAGTATCAGGACAGACAAGCAACCCAGTATCAATTCCTTGTCCATTTTCTCCCTTTCTCTTCATCTTACAATGGCATTTTAAGAGGTTCTTGATAATTGAAACCTTGAGACCCATTTTTTAAGAACAGAACTAAAAGATAGTTAATTAAAAGGGCAACTTGCCGGTTGCTACAGTTCAATTTCTTTCTACCGGGCAAGATTGTGTTCGGTATTAGATCAAGAGATGGCACAACAGTGAACAGTTAAACATTTACTGAATGTCTGTTATAAGTAGTTTTAGTCCAAATGTGTGTCCATATTTTACCATCTGTGGAAATGAAAGATGTAAACCAATATTTCAACAACCCAATATTTCATAATGATCACTCTAATATGGTAGCATTTGGAATGTTTGTAAATATCACAGAAACAGATAGAAGAGCCAGAATTCATGTTCGGAAACTTATGAATCATGCATGTGGATTCCAGATTTTTTGCTCTACAGCAAAAGCAAAAGGGAGAACAAATTTTTCAAAGACATTGTGTGAAATAAGGTATACCTACATTCTGCGTGGTGCATTCTGGGGGATACTGTGGAAATGTGACAACAATGAATTCTCAAGGAGTTTATTATTTAAGCAGAGAAAGAGAGCTCTTTTTCTAGTCTCTTCGTAGTGTCTCAATATGAATGCACACATAAACATATAAGCTTAATGAACTTTGGCAGAATCAGTATTAATTTCTTATTTATTTATTTTTTACTTTTCTTATAACAACTGTATTGGGATATAATTCACATACCATACAATTCAACCCTTTAAAGTATAAAATTCAATGGTTTTTAGTATGTGTACAGAGTTGTATAACAATCACCATTATTTAATTTTAGAATATTTTTATCACCTCCAAAAGAAATCTTATAGCCCCTGGCAACCACCGCTTTACTTTCTATCTTTATGGATTTTCCTCTTCTAAACATTTCATATAACTGGAATCATACAACATATGCCTTTTGTGTCTAGCTTCTTTCACTCAGCATGATATCTTCAAAGCTTATCTATGTTGTAACAGGTATCAGTACTTCATTCCTTTTCATGGCCAAAAAAAATCCATGGTATGGACATACAACACTTTGTTCATCAGTTAATTGACATTTGGGTTGTTTTCACTTTTGGCTACTATGAAAATCTTTCTAGACTTTACAAAAAATGTCATATTTTATGTATACAAGAAATTTCACAGAATATTGTCAGTGGCGTATGGTGTATTTCCCCACCCATCCAATTTCCTATAATTACTGGAAATACATCAAATTCTGGAGAAGCAGTCTTACTCAAAGATACTTTGAGAAATTAGTGAATCTCCTCTAAAACATTTATCTCACTTAAGTGTATGGAAACCTAGAGGACTGAGGTTTCCTAGGCTGCCTCAAGCCACATACACACTCACGGTACCCACATACAGAGACCTAACAAATTCGCTCTGCCCTCTCTCTGAATCCCTGCCCACGGCTACGCTACACTGGAGGCTTTGCCGTCTCTAACCACGGGATTGCTCCCTCCCTGCAGGGCTCTCAGTAACAATCGGCTCTGGTTTCTGTTTCCCAGGATTCTCTAGGACACACCACTTTTCTGTCCGTTGTTCTACGCCAAGGAAACTGCCACTGTCCTTAGAAATGGATAGAGAGAAAAACTCAATATTTTTCCCTGTTAAATTCTATTTTTTTCTACGAAGTGCCCTTTTTCTAACGGAAGAATCCTTTCCAATTCCTATCGGCTTCTCTTTCTGGCTCAGACCACGTTCTCCAGTAAATTGTCCTGGCCAGTCTCACTTTCGGTTGTACACCGGCCTGCGCATCGGGCTCCTCCTCCTAAAATTCTTCCCTTTGCTGCTTTCTCTCCATCCTCACCCTTGCATCTGAGAATAGAAAAATGAATTAATGAGACGCTGTTTCGGTTTCTCTTATCAGATTTTCCAGATTAGGGTAACTACTTGTTAGACTCCTTCTCCCCATAAACACACCTTCTTTCCACTCCAACCACATTTACTGACCTCTTTCTGCTTTCACATAATCAGTGGTGTATTGCCTCAGTGTCCGTCAGAGGGCCTGCCTCAGAGTGGGCACTCAGTAAAAATACAGGGTTGTTCCAAAGAGTAGGCTTCAAACTCCGACCATGTCACATATTCAGTGTTCTATTTCTACCAACCTGCCAGACAGCTATGCACCTTACTTTGCTCATCTGTAAAATGGGGACAATAACATCAATACTAAAAGAATGGTGCCTGACACATAATAGGCCCTAAAAAATAATACTTTCCATTGCCTCTTATGAAGTAAATGAAAGAGTGAACAAATGAAAGAGATGTTATCTGAACTTCTTTGGCTCCCCGACGGGCTCTCCTGAAGCTCCTTGGCTTCTAGACAGAGATATCAGTTGACTGATTTAAGAGTTCAAGTTTTCCAAGGCCATTGAGTCATTTTCCCCACCTTGTTTCTTAGTATCTCCCCATAACTCCCCAATATTTCTAGTCTACACCTAGAACCTTAGGTGTTCCACCCTGAAGCACTGCTCAGTTACAGTTTATCCAAATCGGACAATTCTTATTCTTGTTCTGTGTTGCTAAAACCCATGGGATTATCCTAGATCCTATAATCCTGTAGAATTTTCAAACCTACGTCCTAGAGACACAGAGACTCCTCTCACCCAACGCTTTCCTATTCCAAACCCTCAGAGTTGCTGGTCTATCCCTCACAAGCCATTGGAGATTGACTAACTTGGATGAAAGGAGAAAGATAAGGTCAACTATAAATCCAGTAGCTTGAATTTTAGTAGATGGGGGAATGCTGTTATTGGTGACAGCAACTTGGTCTGCAGGGAAGGATGATGTAAATTAAGCAAAATCTGTGTTAAATTATGACACATTTTATCTTCTTAGCTATCAAGGGGGAAAAATAAATGGAAAACAAACTATGAATAGAACTAACGAGAAGTCAAAGTGGCTTTCCATTTAAAGAATAATGTAGGCTCAACACTGTGGCTCATGCCTGTAATCCCAGCACTTTGGGAGGCTGAGGTGAGAGGATCACTTGAGGCCAGGAGTTTGAGACCAGCTTGGGCAACATAACAAGATCCTTCCTCTATAAAAAATATAAAATAAATAAATAGAGTAATGTAACAATATACATCAAACATTAAAGCATTTAATCATGTAAGTATCTTGGAGATTTTAAGTAATTCGCTTATGTAAGGATGAAGTCAGAATGTATAACAATATCCATTTTTGAGATTCTGATTTACTTTATTATATTAAGAAATTATTCTCTTTCCTTTAGTTGACATGGGCTTACCCATCATTTAAAAATGGTATTGCTCTTTTTATGCTTGAAATAGTCTCACACAGTTGAAAGTAAAATCTTCTGTGAAATGTTTCTCCTGCAAAACTTATTATTTTCTTTAACTAATTGGATTACCCTTGACAAAAGAAAGTGTTATGCTGCCTTACAGCCTCACCGTTAGGAATGAAGAAAGAGGGGAAAATGCTGGAAGACCCCCACTTACTACAAAAATGGAGAGCATCCAGGTTCTAGAGGAATGGTGAGTGTGAGAGCCACATAGTAATTGTTTCTCATATTTATATGCCATTTACATCTATTGAGTGCTTAAGTATTATCTTTTGCTTCACTGTACTCTTCAAAATGACTTTGTGGAATGAACACAAACTCAATCTGGGAGATTTTGGCATTGCAATTGCTTTTCATCCATTTTTTCTATTAGCTATATGAAGATATTGGCTAAAATGTTGCCTAAGTTTATCTTTCTCTTTCCAAAAGTAAAAAATATTACATGAATACTCCCCCCAAAATCACCCTAATTCTTTACTTCCCGTTTCTGAGAACATTTTTAGGTTCTATGTATAAGGGAATTGTCAAAACACACAACAAGATAGGGCATGGAATGTTGCAGTCAGTCAGGGAGGGCAGCCGCGGGCTCCTGGACCTCTTTCCATCAGAACAGACTCTGACCAAGTGTTTTCTCCCAGGTGAGAAGCTGAAATGCAGTATCTGTGGAATAAAACAAAAATACAAATAGACTGTTTGCATAATTATAAGTGCTTTCCCTCTCTGCTTTTTATGAGACGGTTTTAATAATAATGCTTCATAGTCATTTTTAAGCTTTTTAAATTTAAAAAATTTTTTAAGTGAATAAGGAAGTTCAGACATTATGGAATAGTAAAAATCTATGTAAAATATCTGGTCCAAAAGGTAAGAAAAGATAAAATATAAATATTGCTTTGGCCAGATATATTTTAGGTTGAGAAATTGTTACAATAAATAGACCAATTAATGGGAAAGCAAGATCAGGATCATTTTAACGACAAGAATCTTCAAGTTTCTCTCTTCCTCTTCTTTGATGTATAAGCAAGTGGACTAATGACTGGTGGCTTGTGCAGTAAAGCAGTCACTGAAAATCTGTACATAGATATAAAAATGTCCCCAGTGTTATTATAAAAGCCCTATGCCTTTCAACTGTGATAACTCCATTCATGTCTAACCACTCGTAACTTTTCACAGAAACTTCTTAAAGTTTAGGAAAATATGTGACAAGTTCCTGCAGTGTATTATTTTAGATCCAGTGACAAATGAAAAAAAATGGATACCAGATTTTTTAAAAAAAAGCTGTGTCTTATGGTTGGAAAACAGAAATCTGTATCAGAAGTAAACAAAAAAATTTAGTTTGTCCTAAGTGCCTTATAGACTATCAACTAGCAACATATTGTTAGTTTGAACATTCCCAGGCTTCATCAGGAATTTATGAATTTATGATGACCTGCATGCATATTGTATATAGCCCCTTGCCATGTGAATGCTTGGCTCCCTCACACGCCTCTTGTGCCCACATGAATTTTTGTCAAGACCCAGAAATAACTGACCTAGTCCTACCCAGGTATTTAATTGCCAGATCAGGCTGGAGTGAGTGGCAAAATACTGACCACTAGATGGCAGCAATGGATAGAATTTCCATCAGCTCCTCTCCTTACCTGGTCTAGCATCATGGGTCAAAGTTCCCTTTGATAATGGCCCCATTCTGTCTCTGCAGCCAAAACCCCACCGCAGAGGAAGTCTTGTCCTGGTCTCAAAATTTTGACAAGATGATGAAGGCCCCAGCAGGAAGAAACCTTTTCAGAGAATTCCTCCGGACAGAATACAGTGAAGAGAACCTACTTTTCTGGCTTGCTTGTGAAGACTTAAAGAAAGAGCAGAACAAAAAAGTAATTGAAGAAAAGGCCAGAATGATATATGAAGATTACATTTCTATACTATCACCAAAAGAGGTAAAAATCTGGAAAATATTGAGGTGGGCTTCCTAAAACCAAGGATAACCCTAAAGGGACAGCCGTCCAAGTTGGGTAATGCATGGGATGTGGACAGATGAGATGTCTCTGGGTGGATAAATTCGCTTCCATTCGGAGAATCTCCCTGAACCCATGTTTGGAGACTATGTATCTCCACTATGCTTTGATCATTTATCTCTGGCTGAATTGTGTCCACTTGCTTTTCAGAACTAACACCAAGGAAACTGTTTAAGCACAGTTTGCTGTGACTTAAACTAAAATGGAAAGGAAGAATTTACTCTGGGGTGGTGTTTCTCAAAGCCTGATCTCCAGATCACTTGTATGAGAATCACCTGGAACATTTGCTTAAAAAGCAAATTCTTAAGGCCTACCCAGGACTCGGAATCTGAATTTTTGGAAATAGAGCTCAGAAATCTGCACTTTTAACAAGTGTTGCACACACACGCTAGTTTGAAAATGTTTGGTATTGGCTAAAAACAAAACAAAACAAAAAAAACAAAAAGCCTGCTTGATGTTTATGATTGAATTTTTACAGAATTGAAGAATGGGCCTTTGGCCATTAATATTTTGGGGGGAGGGATGGGGAATAGAAATTATTTTACTTAATTTAGATTTTCTGTTATTGAAATTGTAGATTTTTTTCTCCCCTTGCCAGAATGTAACTAATCAATCCGGAGCACTTCTAGGAACCAAACAGCACTTTTCCATTGACTTTTTAAAAATTAATTTGTCCTTGAGAAGTGTTTCAGCTAACAGTTAAAAGTATTGGGTGAGGGAGGGGTTAATAGTGTGACTAGGCCCCTGGATCCCTGAGTGACAGAGCTTTGCAGGTCAAGAACACAGACATTGCTAGAATGCCTTCTCTTTTCCATGCTACCTTCTTCTTATTTGGTCTTTTCCTTCTAAATGACTATGGTTTTTACTTTGCATTTAAATGTCCTGACCTGATAACTTTCTGCTCTTAGAAAGGCTAGAAGGTTTAGCTCCATACCCCTCTCTTGTGACCTGAACATCCGTGGGCTTTGGTCGTCAGTCCCTCATTCAACACTTGGTGTGGTCCCATTCTGCCTTACACTCCTTACTTTAAGATCTATAAAAGGAATTAGTTGTTTTCTTTCCTTTTTTATTTCAACATATTATGGGGGTGCAAATGTTTAGGTGTCTATTTTATTAATCTCTAATAGAATGCTACATAAACTACTTCACTTCTACTGAGGTATACAGTACCTAAATAAGTTAGATTTTTTTTTTATTAGTTAGGTTAAAGGGCCATTGGTATTCCAGTACTCCAGTACAATTGTCTCTACAAAATGAGAAACCTTCTAGAATTGGATGCACAAAAGATTGTTTTATTTTTTATTGACTATATGAACGTAGAAAAAGTATTCATAAAAACAAGGTGGGGAGAATTTTTCTGTAGCCTCGGAATATTTATTCCTGATGTCACCTTGTATTTCTAACACCAGTATAATTCTGCATCCTAAAAGTACATTCAGGTTCTGGTCTATGTGGAAGCTCAGCATCTAACCGACTCTAT